ACACTATCGCATTTAGTCGCAGAACCCAACAACACCATGGTTTATTTACATCATTTGTAGTGCTGGAATTTCCGATTCTGCATTCGAACGAAAAACTATAAATAAAAAAATCTTAAGATAAACATAAAAATTGCTTTCTTTTTATTTTATAAAAATATAGGTACATAAAATGCATTGAATGTAAATGCATATTGACGTATAACAATACTATATCAAAATTTAAAGCTTTGATGAATAGAGAATTAAATTCAAAATACAAACACTTGGAAGGCAATGTTTTGGTCTTGTAAGTTTTCTATTCTTTGTCGAGTTCNCAAATGCATATTGACGTATAAGAATACTATATCAAAATTTAAAGCTTGCTGAATAGAGAATTAAATTCAAAATACAAACATTTGGAAGGCAATGTTTTGGTCTTGTAAGTTTTCTATTCTTTGTCGAGTTCCTCGCCAATATTATAAAAATGTTCCCACGTCTGCAATTCTTCATACAACTTACGACCGGGACTCTCGGTCGAACGGCATTGGCAGTGAGCGATAAGCTTATAATCAGGTGCCAAGTGCCCTTCCTCCACACCTCTGCAGCAAATCAAAAAAATAAAACGATTATACACAAGTACTACTTGTTTGAAAAATGTACACTTTTTTGGAATAACAAACCTTTTGAGGAAATTTTTGCATGCGTTCAGCGCAGGTTCACTTGGTAATTCGCGCATAAAACAGCCAATAAATGCAATACCTACGGATTTCGAATTGTAACCGATTGTGTGAGCGCCCACTACACCCCATCCACGTCCTTCGTACACATTACCATCACATCCAACCAGAAAATTGTAAGCAATATCATTCCACTCGCGTGATTCAATGTGAAAGCACTAAGGGATAAAAATTTTTAATTTTACAAATTATTAGTTTGTATTCACTAAGTACTGATAAATTAAATCTTGTAATGCAGTCAGTAGACTAAGCTATTGTTCATTTATAGCTACTTATTTTAATGCCTTTTACATTACCTGAATGTCACGTATCAACCGCACATTTATAGCTTGTTTCTCGGAGCTCTCTGTGGCTGTGTGCGCTGCAATTGAACAAAAAATATTAAATGACACTCTCACAAGCAGTATGTGATATGCTCACAAATTATAACCAAATTCACCGGCTCCGGTATAAAATCATAATCTTCCATAGGCCTCTGTGCCAGCCAAGTACTCCGTGGTAGAACAGCGCAAAGTTCCTTTGGTATTTTATACTCTTAAAAGTTAAATAAATATATTAATTTAAGCTATGGCTATTCATAAAAATGTGATTTGCAAAAATTCAATTAAGCTACATCATGTAAAATATAACGATTGTACACAAAGCGATTAGATATACCATAGCTATGTATACTAACTTATGCGATCGATGAATGCGTCACGTTTCACACGCTCCTCTTGTTCTTCACTTTCCTCCGTTAAGAGCGATTCGCTTGCATTTCCCCGTGTGGTTACTGATGCAGTGGAAGTTTGTCGTGATATTTCAGGCAAACGCTTCTTAATACGTTGTATAATCTGTATGTTGCCGTTAATATTTGTGACATTGCCGATTCTTACATTTGACGAGTTCTCTATGTGCACATTCTCCAAAGTTTGCACGCTATTTATTGAATTGAGTAGTTCACGTAGATTTTCTATGACCACAGCCATATCCGTAGGAGCTAAGCAAAAGAAAATAAGGGAACAATTGCAGAATAAGGCCCGTTTTTCGAAAATTCACCCTTTAGCCCTCCATAGCACCTACAATATAAGTTTGCCACAAAGATTTGTATACCATTAGAATTCGAAAACACCACGCCCACTCTTCTGCTTTTGCTAGCTTAACGGGTCGTAGTACGCACGTGTGCGATTATGTGCCTTTGCCCCTCCATAGTCCCAAAAGTATGTTTGCCAAAAAAATAAAAAATTTAATACCACTAAAATCAGAAAAAAAGGTAGGACCACGCCCACTTCTTCGTTTTTTCTAGCTTAACGGGTCGTATTCTGCACTTAAGCCAAGTGTTAAATTTAAATTTAATTTGAATTCGCTAATAACTACTACTTACTGTACTGCGTGCCTAATACTTTGGTCGTTAAAGTGTTGTTTGTTGAGTCGAAATCAGCTTCTGCTTCAGTTTCGTAATCGCCATCACTGCTGGATATGATGGACGAATCTGCCAATGAAGATATATCATCTTCTATTCCAGAATTGCCAAATTGTTCCTGCCGTTCGATCCATTCCCGTGTCGCTGCTTCTTTCTCTGCATTTAGTCCACTAGTTTGCGACATGTTTGAATTCGGAGAGCAAGCTCCACAGCACTATCTGATGGTCTATGTAAAGTTTCAAAGCGTAATTTCAAAAGTAGTTTGTTGTGAAAGTTTGTAAATTTAACAAAATTGTATGGGCACTATTTCACGATATAAAATGGAGTTTGCACTAAATTTACACGGGATTTACACACAATATATGTGCAATTAGAGCGCACCATCTAACAAATAAATACTTTTAGTATATTGCAGCTTTTTTATGGATTTAAGTTATTTCTTAACTTGCAGCTTTTTTATGAAAAATTTATTTTTTTTTTTTTATTATTTAACGTTGCTTCCGTGCTTATATACAAATATAAGGAAAGAAGACTAATTTGGCCAGCTCAAGAGCTACAACGCCATCGCCAATTATAGTTGTGGTTTAAAAGTTTTTACTACCCGTTTTACAAATTCATTTGGATCTCGTTCAGAAATTTAGTGATGGTAATGTATTCATTAGTAGTAACGTTTTGATGAAAATCGATAAATGATGCATTATTTCTTAATAATGGATATTGGTTTCTTGAATGTGAATATTTGTTGCAATGAAAAATTATGTGGTTTGAATTTTCCGTCGTATTACATGTTTCGCATTTGTCGTCAGTGAAAATATTCATTCTGGCTAAAGTTTCTTTACAAAATGTATGGTTGGACATAATTCTATTGAATTGTTTTATTTCTTCTGGTTGCATTCGGGTGTCTTTTTTGTGGAACCAAGGCTTCTTCAATAATTCCGGATACATATGTCCATAATCCCGTCCCTTGTTTATAATTTTTCCTTGGTAATCTTGTTTCCATTCTTCACGTATTTGGTGCTCTATTTCCTTTATAGCATCTTTGATAGTCCACGGAATTCTAATTGGATCACCTGAATGAATTGCAGCTTTTGCCGCTTTGTCTACTTTTTCATTCGATGTAATGTTACTGTGGGCTGGTATATGATGTATTTCTACAATGTCTATTGTTGATGTGTTTATTATTCTTATTATGTTTTGCGCTATATAATTATTGGTTTCATTGTTTTTCAATGTCAAAATACTGCTTAAACTATCAGTAAGGATGGCTATTTTAAGAAACTGATTCTCTATCGCAAACTCGATGGCTTTTTCAATTGCTATTAATTCAGCAGTCATAGATGCCACTTTCCTATTACCGCAGAAGGTTTGAATTGTATTAGATTTTTCATGTAAATATGCAGCTCCCGTTTTATTATCTTTTATTGACCCATCTGTGAATATTATTTCAAACTGATTTGCTTCCAGACGGTTAATTTTTTCTTTATATATATTATTAATAACTGTTTGATTGGCTTCTTTTTTATTTTTGATTATGTTTTTGAAAAAAGTATCGTCCATATATAGTTTGTTTGAACAAGTTGTATTATTTTGTATTGGGGCAATATTGTAAAAAATAGATTTATATTTTTGATAAACTGTATGGTAACTAGTTCTTTTGTTGATTTTATCTGTTAGAATCATTTTTTTGGCCGGCAGATTGTATGCGATACACTTAATCATTTCTTTAGCTGTTGCCATCTCAAACCTATACTTGGGTGGCATCTCTGCAGCCATGTGGTAAATGACATGTATTGGTGTGGATCTTATCAACCCTAAACACCTTCTGATGTTGGCATTGCAGCATGTCGATAATTTTTGTAAAGCTGAATTTGATATATTTGCAAATGTGGAAGCGGCATAATCAATTTTGGCACGAACAAAGGCTTTATAAAGATGGATGGCTCTGCTTGGTGATATCCCGAACTTACAACCACTGATGATGTTGAGGAAGCGACATGTCTTGTTTGTTTTTTCTACTATTTGTTGTACATGTTGTGCACATGAATTATTGACACTTACATATCTCCCAAGGTATTTGATGTGCCGCACTTGTTCCAAACGAACATTATTTATTTGGATATTTAACTGGGCGCTCCTTTGGTTGAAGTATATAATTTTGCTTTTATTCAGGTTTATTTTTAGATGTAGATTGTTACATTTATTAATAAATTGAATTATTTTTTCTTCCAGGATTTGCTGAGCTTGATCCTTTTTACTATGATAACATACCAGAAAAAAATCGTCGGCAAACTGGAAGAGTTCGCACCCTCGGCCAACTAACTCATGGATCTTCGCTGTGTAGATGTTAAAGAGGGTAGGACTAAGTCCACTACCTTGTGCTAATCCGTTTCCTGTTACAATTTTTTGCTGCTCCAGTATAAGGTAACGACATTTTAGAAAGGAAACAATCCACCTCGTTGCTCTTCCATCGATTTCAGTTCCACTGAGTATATGCTCCAACGTATCCACGTCCACTGAGTCATAGGCTTTCTCTATATCTATACATGCTGCCATTACATGCATTTTTTCACCTTTATGGAAAGCAACTGTATTTATGAGATCATTTATACATTGCGCTGTTGATCGATGTTTCCGAAAGCCGTATGACCTGTCAGGAAGCATTTTATGTTCCTCAATATTCCTTTCAATGTGGATTTTGATCATACCCTCTATAATTTTTGCTAGTACCGAAAGCAAGCATATGGGCCTGTAGTTGTAAATGCTAGTAATATCACACCCCTTTTTCGGAATTGGTATAATTTTAATCTCCCGCCATGCTTCCGGTATAATACCATCTTGCCACACATCGTTTAATATATTAAATAACTTTACTTTCTCTTCATCCTGTAGTTGTAAAAGCATACGATATGATATTTGATCAGTACCTTTGGCGGAATTTAAATTTCTAGTATGTAAGAAGTTAAGGAAGTTGTCTTTATTCATTTCCACAAGTGGTGTTTCTGGAATATTGTAGCTATCGTTATTATTTACTGTATTTATTATTTGGTTTCTAGAGATGTATTGAAGATATTCTATTTTTTCCTGATTGTTCCAAGAGTTATTAACTTGCTTCTCACATTGATACTTCTTGAGATTTTTAATTTTAGCCCATATATCCTTGATGTTATTCGGTTGAGATATTTCATTTATTAATTCCGAAAAGTTTTTCTTTTTCTGTTCCTTGATATGATCTAATAGGTCTTTTTCCGCCATTGCTAGTAATTCACAATTTTGGAATGTCTTATATTGATTGTATTTCTTGCGTGCCGCATTTCGTAATCTAAATAATTTTTGAGATTCATCGGTCCACCAATGTTTTGGTACATACTTATTCGTATTGTTGGTATTGATCGTGTTCTTCTGAATATTATTTTGAATTGCATTGTTAAACTGCTGTAGATTATTTCCAATTTTTAAGCTACTCATATCTTTAAGCACTTGATTCATAAGCACATGATTTTTCTTTATTTTTTTTTGAAAATTATCAAATAAGGTTATAATTATTGGGCTATGATTACTATTTGTTAATTTGTTTATTATCTTCCATGTATTAGAAATGTTTTGATTGATGAATGTGACGTCTATTGCAGATGTTGAATTATTAGAGGAAAAAGTAGGTGTTCCATCATTTAGGCATTTGAAACTGTTATCCGTAGCTATATTTTCCAGTATTTTGCCTCTTGCATCTGAAACCTGAGGACTCCATCCTGATGCTTTGGCATTCAAGTCTCCTCCTATTAGTGTTAAATTACTTAATTGTCTTGTATATACAAAAAGCTTATCTATTTCATTTTTGAAGTTTTGAGTTGGACTATTAGGTGGACAGTATACACTTATAATATTGATGTTTTTTCTTAAATTTATTGTAGTGATCCCTATATTTTCTATCCCGCAAGAGACTTTAAAAACCGAAAATTTGATATTTTTCCGGAGGTATATTCCTACACCACCATATCCATCTGTTCGATTTGAAAACGCATAGTTGTAATTGTTTATACTAGTGTCTGTGTTATTAGTTAACCATGTTTCCGCTAAAATTGCAATATCTATTTCATTATTGTGCAGACTTAGTTCTAATAATTCCTTATTGCCTTGCTTTTTCAAGCTTTGAATGTTCAATTGTAGAATTTTTATTGGTGCTGACATTTGTATTCCTGAAAATCAAGGCGCTATCAAATAAATTATTAATTTTGTTAAAAGCTGTCCGAATGTTGCTCAGTAGTTCTATTGTGTTATGATTTAGTCTCTCATTTATGTTTGAGGTCAGATGCTTGGTTATGGCTAAGCTTAACTCGTTAAATGTTTCCTGAGTTTCTTGTATTTTTCTAGGCTCTATAGTAATATCATTTGAATTAATAGGTTTTATAACTTCTCTTCATTCTTGCATGGTATTCCTCGCATTTGCTTCTTCTCTTTGTCTATTTAGGTTATTGTTCTTTAATGCTTTAGAGTATGGTACTAATTTATGGATAAATGCTGCAGTTTGTTTCCCTGTATCAATTATGTTGTTCGCTGTACGTGAGGATAACTGTGGGAATTGACGATCATCCCCGTCCAAAAGTTCAAATCTGTTGCCTAAAATGTTTGCGACTTTATTGTGAGCTTCTTTGTAAGTACTGTTTTCCAGCGTCATTGTTCTTTTAATAATGTACGCCTTTACTCGTGCTGGACAGTCCTTTGCTGTAGGTGGATGTGCATGTTTGCAGTTCACACAAACAATCTGCTTGCATGGTTCATTCTCTACGTGCAACTGAAAACATTTATTACATCTTTTTTCTTTCTCTTTACAGTGTTGTGCGAAGTGGTTGTATCTGAAACATCTGTAGCACTGGGACAGCACTACGAATGGTTTGACCTGTATCCTGGTATAGGCATAGATTATGTGCTCCGGAATGGATTGACCTTTAAAGAACACCTTTACTCTCCTAGTGGGGATTCTAATCTCCTTATCCTCTTTATCTCTTCTCTCTACTCTTACCAACTTTAGTATCGGGATGCTAGATTTGATTTCCTCTTCCAGTTCTTCCATTGTAATTTCAGTTGGAATATCAAATATTATGCCTATTTTTGAAATGCAATGTTGTAGTATTTTGGCTTCATATCCTTTGTCTCTTAAACTCATGTCGTTACAAATATTGTTGGCCACCTCTGCTTTTTTGCAGATCACCTTTACTCTTCCAAATCCCACCTTAATCACATCATCAATTTCATCAAATTTATTTTTCTTTAAAGTGTTTGTGACTGCTACTGCGTTTATTGGTTTCCTTTCATGTTCCGTTATTTTGTCGATGTATACTACGAATGGCCCGTTATGTTCTGCGTCGTATTTTATTGGTATTCTTTCTGTTGGTTTTTGGTGTGTATTTATTGCTTTTGGAGTTATATTTAATGCCTTTTGGCTT